CTATCTTTTGCAAGTCAAAGGGTCATAAAAAATGCAGGAAATGTTGTTTAGTTTGGGACTGAAGGGACCAGGGGGGCCTAATATTGACAAAGATTTGAGGCATGAAAGCAGCAGCTAACCCTACTTCGCATTAGCTTATCAGATTATGTTCTTGGTGAGCTCTGCATCTCTTCAGCATGGAATTCTAAATTCTAATGATATTCGAGCAGTGTAAATATCGGTTCAGCCTGTTGATTAGGACAATATACTACTCGATATCGATATCAGAAACTCAAGTAAGGGCTTCGTTAACTTTGCAAACAATTTAAGAACGAACGTGTACGAGAGTATGGTCATATGAGGATAGAAGGACTTCAAAGAATGGGTTATATTTGTTTCAGTTTCTCAAATCGCACTCTCTGGGTCTAAAGCTGTATCACTTTTATTAAATTGATGTGTCATATGTGACCTATTCTACGCTGACAATTTAGATGAAATTGTGCAACACAAAGCATCGGTTTAGGAAACCAAATCTCCATGCAGACCTTGGTGTTAGCCCATAAAAGAGTCCCGCACTAATCGTATCACCCATGCATATACTGCTAAAAGACCCCTATTAACCATTGGTCATTTTGGTTATTTCGTGAAAAAAAATCTTCATTAAATCAGAATAAAAGAATAAAAATATCCTCAACTTTTTGTCGAATCATTTTAGATTATTGTTATTAAATTAAGGATATTTTTGTCGTTTTCATCCTTACTTAACAATTTTTTTTTTTGGAATGACCAAAATGATTGAGGGTAGACAAACTCAATACCATTTCCATCGATTTCAAGAACCAAAATAAAAAATTATGCCGATCTGATTCTGGCTAAAATGGCTAATATCATTTTTGGCTAAAATGGCTTTAAATATGGACTTGGGGCATTATTCTTGCCAATTTACCAAGGGAATTGTTATTAGCACTCAAAAAATCTCATTCTACACTTCTCACAAGTGTATTTTTCTTTCTAATTATAGAAAGTTTAGAGTGTGAAATGAGATTTTTGGAGTGCTAATAACAATTCCTTTTACCAAAAGCAATATAGATGCAAAAAGAATCTGCTATACAAAGTAAATAACCGGCACTAAATCGCTTTTTTTATTTGGAAAAAGTTTGACACAAACTCCCTCAACTTTTATTAACACAAGCCCAAAATTACAAGCAAACCACAAGCCTTACTTACAACTATACACAACCAGAAAAGGGCCAAAACCAAAAGAAAAACAGAAAGAGGGCCCATCAACAGTAAAGCCCAAAAAACACACAACTGCCTAGAAACTTCTAGTGAAATCTCCTCCACCGACAGAGATCCAGACCAGCCAGCTGAAGCGTCATCCACCATCTAGTATCGCTGCCACAGACACCACCACCAACCCCGAGCATCAACCAGATCACATCCATTACCAAGATACATTCGGCACCAAAGAGGGATTAGCCAACTACCAAGATGAAGCTCAGGAAAATCCACAAACAACACTGTTGAAAACGACAAACAGCAAGAAGATCGAGGTGGTGTTGGAAACACCCGAGTCAAGAACAAAATCCCGACTCTATGCGCGAACTCGAGGGGAAAAATGGCTAATCCCAACTCTATGCGCGAGCTCGAGGGGAAAAATGGCTGAAGATCGAACTGAGGGAGTGATGGGAACTCCAGCCAAAGCTAGAGTTAGCACCAAAAATTGTATGGTATTTATCTTAAGACATGAATCCACGTTCCTCATGATCAAGCCCATTGCCAATGTGTATAATATCAACAATTTTACAAAACTAAGGCCCAACAAAATTGACACACAGCCAGCCCTGTGCGGCTGCAGCCCAAAGGAGTATATTAAGAGGTAAATCCAAAAGAGCTTCTAGCAACATTGGCATATGCAAGACGCATTACCAAATGATTTTCCGAAAAGCACCAAACAAGATTAACATAAACTAAAACAAAAATTATCTTAAACAAAATATCCAACACATTAATGCCATGAAATTATATCCGATCAAAAAAAACAAAGCAAGATAGTGCCCGCAATACCTAAACAATGCACGTAAATTTCAATATCCTCTAGTTCAACTCTGAACCATAGCCTACTTAATCATCAAACAAACTGAAACCCATTTCCTCGTCGGATTCCTCTTCCGGCTCAGGCTTCTTCTCTTCCTCCTTGGCAGCTGCTGGAGCACCTCCGGAAGCAGCAGCAGCAACAGGGGCTGCAGCAACGGCAAACTTGCTCGGGTCCTGCATTGTTAACCCACGATTAAATCACTTGCCAATAAGAATTAACTGAAAAGAGCAATGACGAAAAACAGACGGACACAAACAGTTGAAAAATAGCACAGTACCTTGAGGAACTCCTTGACTTTCTCTGCTTGTGGGAAGGAATATTCGGTGGCAATAGAAACTGCCAAAACATTCTTGTAGGCATTGAGGAACATGTGTGGTGCAGCTGCAAGGGTGGGGTATGAGACAGCCAACGCCAATGAAGTGACCATTGAAACACCAGAAGCAAACTTCACCATGAGATCATCCTCAGTCAGATCAAGCACCTCAGGGCTGAAGACGGAACCATTGTCATACACCATCTCAACAACAAGACCGTATGAGAATGGCCTGATTCCAAGCTTTGCAAGGAGGGCAGCCTCAGAAGAGCCAACCTTGTCTCCCTTCTTGATAAGTTCAACAGGGGTAATGATTTCGACAGTTCCCTTGTTAATCTTGGTGGGGATGTTGAGAACCTGAAATGTGAAACATGCAAGTCAGAACTACAAAATCCCCAAAAGAGTGATCAGGGTATATCGGGAACGAATGTTATAACAAACCTGGAAGAAAGAGGTCTGAGATGGGTCAAGACCAGTGTTGCCAGGAGGAACCACCACATCAATTGGAGCAACTAAACCAACACGAGCAGGGGCTCCAACCTATTCAATTAAAAACAACAAACAGCTAGATATTAGATATATGTAATGAAACATATAGACATAATGGGTTGATTGAAAAACTAAACAAAAATTTATGACGAGGCGAACTTAGCTCAAGCACAAGCAATTTCATATTTTCAAGGCAATTCTCAACATAACCATGTAAAATATTAAAACTCTACATAATCAACTTCTGTTAAATACATACTCAGAGAAACATAACTTTTTGAAAAAAAAAAACACAAATGTAGGTCTCATGGCCATGCCCAAATAGTAAAGGCAGTGACACTGCTCCACAATGCGATGGGATATGACAACACCGTCAACGGAGGTGCTCCCAACCAAAGCTGAGAGGACCATCAACGCCAACAGCAATCTATATGTGACGTTAACTTCCGGAATTTACAGGCATAAGTAACCTGCTCCGTTAACTTTTAAGTTAGGGACGGATCAATGTCCCCCGTCACAAATCCACAACAAAATCATCAAAGTTTGTAAGAACAACAAAAAAACCTAAACATATGTTAACAAAATCGACACAGAATTTGTTGATAAAGCATAGAACCGGAAAACGCATAAGCGGAGTCTAAAGCCTAAAAAACCCTGGATAGCATTAAAATACAGTAACTAGCACTTCCTGTTGCATACTTCATAAATAATGCAATACAAACCAGTACTTAATCACATATGCAAAACAGTAAATCCAGTACAAATTTATCAGCATTTTAAATCCTTAAAACAATTGAAATGCAAAAAAACTGATAACACAAAGTCGAAACAACCTGAAATCGAATAATGCTTACCTTGTACTTGGCAACCTCTTCGCTCACTTCCTTCAGGTCACCCTTGGTGAAAATCAGACCGACGTTGCCCTAACATTCGAAAACAACACAAATCAGAAAACGAACGTACAAAGAACAGATCAGTATGCAGAAATGGGGCGAAACGTACCACAAGGAGGGGGACGAGGTTGAGGTAGGCACTGTTGCCGGTCTTCTCCGCATGGATCCTGACGGAGCGCTTCATCATTGTGTTCTTCCCCATCAGAACGACGGAGTCGCCACGCAGCCCCTTGCGGATGTTCTGGAGCTGCTTGGAGCCGACGTTGTCGGCGGCGACGATGAGGACCTGGCCATACTCGTCGAGGAGGGAGCAGAGCTTGGAATCGTAGGCGATCTTCTTGTCAGCCTTCGAGGGTTTGGGGGCCATTGCGATTAGTGTTTGAAAGACTAGTGGAAATTGGGGGTTTGGGAGATGAGAGAGTAAGACCAAAACCGAGGGCCAAGACGAAGCGGCGGCTCTGTCAAGGCGGACAGCAACGGTGCCGTCCCTTTAACCTCTCTTTTTACTGAGAGCCAAGGGTTTTGGAGGTACTGGGAAAACCTAGAAAGCTTGGAGGCGGGTGGAAGTGGAAAATGGTTGGCAGTGAAGCTTATATAGTGGGGTGGAGGGAAGGAGAGGAGAGGTGGAAAGGGTTTGGCGGTTACGTAAACCTAGATCGGACGGTTGTTATTTAGTTTTGTTTTTTGGATCCGAGGATCCCGGATGGGCCGGTTTTGGTTTAAGTAAGAAATTGGCTGATGTCAGGTAGCCGTTGACATTCAAATGGGCTGAACTAGAGGGTTGGTAAAATGTTAAATTTGACATTATGGAGCTGAAGGGTTGGAAAAATGTCAAGCTTAACATTATGGCGCTGGAAGGCTGACAAAATGACAAGCTTGACATTCTGGCGTTGAAATGATGGGTTGAAGAGCGGGTTGGCTGGCTAGAAATGGCCAGCCCGCTGGCCTAATTTGAGGGTTTGGACCCGGTATAGCCCACAAGCCATTTGGCCTAATACTCGGTTGAAGATGATTTACGTGTCATTCTAAATTATTTTTAACTATATTGCCCTTTCACCGAGTCGGTTGGAGATGGCCTTCTCGTTAATAAATTTCTTCAATTAAATATTTGAGTGAAATATAGGAATGAGTGATGACATGGCTGAAGTTCATTGGCCATGGAACGTCAAGGGACCCAACTCCAAGCTCTACCCTTGTAGGAAGCCATCTCTGCTGAGCTCCGGTTCGCAGGTGATCCAACCACCCCAAACCGACCAATACGTATATCTCCCTCTCTCACAACCAATTTTCATCCGAGGCTTGTCGTTCCCAATGGCCTCCACGTACCGTGATCGGACCTCCGAGTTCCGATCACTCTCCCAGACCCTCCAGAAAATCGGAGGAATCGCAGCCGTTCATCAAGCGCAGAATTCCTCATCTCCCTCCAAATCTCCCGGACCCGCCTCTTCTGGATCTGAGTTCAACAAGAAGGCCTCCCGGATCGGGTTGGGGATCCAGGAAACTTCTCAGAAGATCGCACGGCTCGCCCAGTGTATTTACCGTTTCCACCTCTCCTTTTAATTTCCGCTATTAAATACTTGTGATTTCATTCCTAGCTGTTTGGTTGCCGAGAAAATGTAGGAAAGTTGCAAAATTTAACTATTTAAGTTGGAATTTGATGCATTAGTTTACTTTTAACTGTGAAGAATTCAGCTAAGCATTGTTCAAGAACTTCAAACCGACTAGCTGTAGGAAAGTTTAGATCTTGGTATGAGCTAAGGTTTTAGAGCTTTGAAATACTTTCAGGGATTGATTGCTGATTAAGTGTCAGATATGAATCATATGATCAGATTTTTAATTGAGTTTTCAAACTGATTGTATTGCGTTTGAAGAATAATCTTGCCGAAAATTTTGCTTAGAAAACTCAGGGCCTGGGATTTCTTCTGGAAGGGGTTAGAAGTGCTTCTTGGTCATAGAAGCTCTTTCTGGAGAAGCCCCTGAACGATGCTTATTCAGGAAGCACTTCCCTTGAATATTTAATAAAAATTTCAACAAGTTTCTAATGGAAGCGCTTCTAGCAGAAGCGCTTATGAGTACAAGCATTTCCTCTAGAAGCAATCCCAAATGAGACCTCAGTACTGTAATTGGTGAAATTTCTTTTGCTATTGGGTTTGGAATCACTTCGGAACATTATTGGCTGGGGGAGGTTATCTCGACCTAACAATTGTGCTTGCTGTGTGTTAATCTGCAGTGGCGAAGAGGTCATCTATGTTCGATGACCCGACTATGGAAATCCAGGAATTAACTGCTTTGGTGAAGAATGACATTACAACACTAAATGTGGCTCTCACAGATTTGCAAACCATTCAAAACATGGAAATAGCTGATGGAAGTTATTCCCAGGATAAGGTTGTGCATTCAACAGCCGTTTGTGATGACTTGAAAAGCAAACTTATGGGGGCAACCAAACAGCTTCAAGATGTGTTAACCATTAGAACAGAGGTTAGTGCGTCTTTTTTGTTCTACACAGTCCATATGTCTTATTGTTTCCTTACGGTTCTATGATTTTTGTACCCTCAGAACATCAAGGCTCACGAGAACAGGAGGCAGATATTTTCCACAAATGCATCAAGAGAAAACCCTTTTCGGAATCCTGCAAAAACTGTGACCGCACCTGCTCCCTGGTCAACTCCCTCCAGGGCACCCAGCAATTTGCAAGCATCACCGTGAGTATTTCTTAATAAAAATCAACTAATATTGAAGTCTGCATATGTTCCGATGGTAGGCCTTCCACTGTTCTGGTGCCGGTAATTTATTCATTGTTTCTCATTTCTCTCTCTCTCTCTCTCTCTCTCCAGATTGCCATCGAAGGATGTTCAAGCTGGCAACCAACTAAGGTATGTTGGCTCCAGAAAAAAAAAATGAAATTTCTTATTCATCTCTTCTGGTCATTTCCTTACAAATACCTCTGGAACACTGCTACATACATCATGCTTGCATATGAACTTCATATACTTCCAACCATAAATATGATAAACTCACTTCCTCGCAGTATTCTTTTTTTCATCATTTCTTCATGCCTGAAGTACTTGTAGGAGCCATAGATCTAGCCTCTCCCTTTTTTCTCTGGTCCTCCATAATTACAGGGTAGATGTACGTATGGCTGCCAAATCTGCTACTAAAGACTATCACCTATAGTTTCAGCTATCTTCTTTCTTTTTAGAAGTGCAACGTTTTCTCCTTTACTTCCGGATAGCATCTAAAGAAGGCAGCATCTGGCCTTTGTCTACTTGGATGATTGCTCAATTAACAAAAATCCATAAATTACGTGTAGAGCAGCCACTAGGATAGGACTCGTAGTAGTTGTGTCGTGCAAGTAAATTTTCTCTGTTCTGAATTTCTGATATTGAAGATTTTGTTAAGTTCCGAAAGTACGGTGATAAATTGATTTGGTTTATGAAGATCTATTTATAGATACATGTTGATGGAAATTAACTGCTTATTTTAAACGTTGCCAAGTCAGACGAAGGTTAGCTGCAGATAATCCTCCATCACAGCAGATGGAAATGTCCATGTTACAGCAGGTAGTTCCACAGCAACAAGATTATACACAAGGCCGGGCTGTTGCCCTTCACAATGTAGAATCTACGATTACCGAACTGAGTGGGATCTTTACACATTTGGCTACCATGGTTGCACATCAAGGGGAACTCGCTATCAGGTTTTCTCTTTTTGCTTGCGGAACCATCAAATAGTGTTGTGTTTGAAGCTGTCACTAATGCTAGATGCACTTTTCATAGGCTTGTTCATGGCATGTTGTCCTGAATCTGTCTTGTTGGTGTGAGCAGGATTGACGACAACATGGAAGAATCATTGTCAAATGTTGATGGTGCACACAGCGCTTTACTAAGGAATCTCACCCGAATATCATCAAACAGGTGGCTTATGATCAAGATCTTTGCCATTTTGATATTTTTCCTGATGGTCTTCATCTTCTTTGTGGCCTAAGTACCGAAAACTGAAAACTCGGCAATAGAATCCTTCATGATGGGTGATTAGGGTTATTCAACTCCGCGTGTGGTTATTTTTTTACGAAGTTGGAGTATTGAAAGTGATATAGGGTTCTTTGTTCTGTATACTTGGTGGGCATCCGGTATGCCCATTTTTCGATTCTCGAGTGTTGCTTGTACAAGAATACCATTCGTTGTAGCATATACGGTTAGATCATTGAGCAATATGTTATGTATCTCTGTATCAACTGAAACAGCTTGCCATGCTTGTTTGAAAATGAGAAATAAAAAATTTCTCTAATTACTTTTCGTTTTTGTTGCCCTTTCAAATGAAATCGATAATCTATCTTGTAACTGTTTGTATGTCTCTCGCACCCGGTCGAAAATAGTTGACAATCTCTTTGAAGGCCCACCAACCTAACTCCGCATGTGACTATAAACCTTCAAATTTACGTATCTGAGTTAAAGCGATAAGATTGATTGTACCAATCATTTATACCAAAACATTGGAAATTTGGAGTTGGAAGTGGAACTTTAACTCCTCCCCCACCTACCTTTTATACTTCAATCAAATGGGTTCATACTGCTACTCGGTAGTCGGTACACTGCTAAGTTAGGGCAGGACCTTCAATAATGTTCCAAGCTTTAGTCCAAGTCATGTCCCACATATTGCAAAAATGACAATAAAGCACTTCTAATTATGTTTGTTAGAAAAATCTAAAGTGTTTCTAACTTATAGAAGCGTTTTTGGAGCAATACCTCCCATACTGGAAAAACACTTGAGTAGCGCTTATGGGCATAAGTGCTTCTTGCACGAGCCCTAGGTTCAGTTTACGACCTACTTGATTGTTAAAATTGGGAGTTTTGGGCTTGTAACCTTGTGCCCCGCACACATGTTCTGCTACGTTGTGATTGTGTGGTCCTACGCGGCAGGCTCTAATCAATATTTTTAGTTACAAATATCTTAACTACGGTTAATGCATAAGGCAACACACACAGAGTAAGATAACGGTGTGCCATCCATCTCTTTGAGAGTGTCGGGCTGTGAGTGTGATGCCATATGCAACGCAGATGCCAGACAACTGTCCCCAAAACTTTGATTGCGGTTTTGCTGAAGTGGGAAGAGTAACGGAAGTTAGAGCAAGCAAATGAGAGTTCAGAAATCGGGAAAGGGACACAAATAAGTGAGTTCACTTTGCAGCACAGTTTCTGTGAGCGTTAATGGATGCAAAAACGTTGGGAGCCATTTGTGGCAGACAAAAATCCAAAATTCAAGTCTCCAAGTCCATGATATATTTCATATAAGATTGGGCAGGTGGTGGAAGGTGCCCTTTGAAAAGACTTGTGCAAACTAACACATGGTCCGTGGAATTTGACACTGCTAGAGCAGTAGGCTGATGGTTCTCCAATATCAAATATTCTCATATAGTCATATATATCTTCGGTTATACAGCAGAATCTTCACTCCGATACGGTCAACAGTAATTAGATATTACCTCCTTGTCAGCGGACACAGAGATAAACTCCGTCATATATGCATGATGTTGTAGTGTAAAGTGTGGAGCAAGAAAGAAATTGCAAAGTTGAAAAGGATGGATTTGGTTGTTGTGGACAATGGGACATGTAGGAGATGATGGTCTTATTGAGAGGCTTCTCTCCTAAGGTCCTTTTTTGTATGAGTCGGCAGATTAATCTTGTAGTAAATTAAGCTATCAATTTAAATAATTCTTGTTACACGGAAATAAAATACTAATAGATAAAACAAAACAAAAAACAAAAAAAAAATAAGTAGAGAGAAGAAGGTTTCACGTCATATCGAATATATTCTATCTGCAAAACCTAGTCTCCTCATCGAATATCTAAGCCCAGCAAATCCAATTGCATTTGCCTAGTAACTTTACACATCCAATTTCATCCTTTTTTTTATATATCAATAATATTCAAACCCACCTAGTTACCAAGCATCAAAAAAATTGAGATTGTGTGGTTGGGAAAGGAAAGGGATATGGAGAAGAGAGACGGTAGGGGAAGAAGACATAAGGTTTTACACGAGTTTTTTTTTTTAATAAATTTAATCACTTTGCATGATTATTATGATTTGGTGTAATATGAATTATTTAAGTTGATAGCTTAATCTACTATAAAATTAATTTGAGGGCTCATATAAAAAATAACTTCACATGTATGAGGACCTTAAAAAAGCAGTTATGTGGTCTTATTTAGTATGATTTTGAGTTGAACCATTTTGATGTTTTTGCCTACTTTGATTTCCACTCTATACCTAATTTGATGTAATCTTTGATCTTTCCATGATTTTGTTGCATAACTAAGAGATAAAAGGTTTGGTTTGGTTTCGAATACAACTCCTTAATTCTGTTTACTTTGCATGTTTTGTTCTTATAAACAGAGAGATAGAATTTCGAACTTGAAATTTCTTACTTAGAGAAAATAGTAGTAATGATATTCCAATTTTAATTTAATTAGAGCAATAGTTAAAGTTGATTCGAACTTGAGGGACCATTGCTACAATTTGATTAAAGTTGAGGGAGCATTGCACAAATTTGACTAAAGTCGAGGGGCCATTACTCCAATGGGTTAAAATCGAGAGACGATTATTACAATTTTCGCATTTGGTTTTTCATATTTGCCCATTTGATTCAGCCTCAAGTACGTGGCACATGATTCGTTTTAACAGAAATTCTAAGGAAGTTGACGAAAATGACCATACATACACGTTTTAATGAATTAAATGATCAATAGTCACAAATTTTTAATTGAGGAACCATTACGCTACAATTTCCTCTTACTCACGTAAATATGATCCAAAATTTACGCAGAGCATAAGATTAACGTACGTAAGTGCATGAAACTTACAAGGGACTCGTTAATACAATTACTAATGCTACTTATCACTAATTAATGCTTATATTTGGCCTAATAATAATTATCAGTCATGCAAATAAAGTTGAAAAAATTAGTGGACCAAACGCCCAAATCATATTACATCCAAACCAGTCATTACTAAATTTTCATGCTGATTCAGAGTCAATGATTAGCCATAAGCCGCATAAACTTGAAGAAGATGCTTGTATAATTAATTAAACATTCAGCAGCATTAAACACAACAGAATGACCCAATGGTTGATAACAAATTTCGTGTCCGTATTTTATATGGCATGTTTTGGGTTCGATTCATTGTGTTATGTGAATCACATGATAGTCGTCAGGAAGAGATTAAAATATCTTTGTAAGTCTTCCAAATCTCTAAAAAAATATAAACTATTATAACTATGCCGTCAACTAGTCCTTTTTTTTTAAAAGAAAAAAGAAAGAAAAACATTCAACAGCATTATTCCATCAAATTAATGATTGATAATATATTAAAATGTTGTGTTTTGCACTCTCGATTGAGCCGATGGATTATGGTGTGGCCCGGTGAGGCACTTTGGAATGGGATTAGAAATGATGAATGTTCTAGTCAGCATTCATAGATTTTGGTCCTACATTAATAATTAATTTCCATCATTGATGAAATTTTATTTCCAACAAGAGGTTAGCGATTTTTCTCATTCGAGCGGTATTATAATTTAAAACTAGAAAAATAATTTTTACACTATTTTTTGAACTCATTTGAAATTATTTTTAAAGTGGCTGAAATTATTTTTGATGAAAATGTTTTTAAACTAATCTTTAGTAAAAATGCAAGTGAATTCTAACTAAACTTCCAAACAAGCTATTTAGCTACATGACATTTGTATCGAATAAAGCAAAACATAAAATGTGTGCATTAAATATTTTTTTCTAACTAAACTACAAGGTGAGAAATTGAACTTGTGTACGTACTTTCTGAATATAAATATACATGCAATAGATCTTTTATTTATTTTTTTATCTCAAAAAAATTTAAATCATTTTATTTTATAAACTTTTAAATCCTTTCTTTTATGGGTGCAAAAATCTGTCCCAGGATGCTTGACCAAGACAGATTCTGGGAGGAGAACAAAAATTGACCAAAAAAAATACTTGTAAGAAAATACTATAGATATCAAATTTTATAAATTACGTGATGTGACAGATAATGATTAAATTATTTTTTTAATGATTTAAAAGAAAAAGAATAATAATCAAACGACACATCCTGTAATTTACAATAGATGAAAAAAAACCAAGTAAATCCTAACGTAGCCTTGTGCAGATGGAAAAAAGTCAAATAAATCAAATAAATCCAATATTTTCCTTTTCAGTCTTATTGCAAGAAAGTATTCTTTTATTTTGTGGGGTACCCTACGAATTCCTTGTGATAATTATGGCATTTTTGGACCTTTGCCTTGCATATGAGTTTTGAAAAATAATCTCACTTCATCACCACCCAAATTTGTCATGCTGATATGATTAGAGATGTTAGTGGTAGGTGCAATTTGCAAATATTGGAGAATTGTAGTGATGGGAGGAGAGGAGTTCATGGATTTCTCTACGATACGGTCGTAGGAATTCGATGTATGTACAATTTTATCTTTCTCTATTAGGGTATAGTAACTCGAATAACTCAATCTGACTATATTCTCGTTAAGTACTCAAATAATTTTCTTTTACTGTATATAAGATTAAAGAGAGAGCATTGTGGCTTAAGTAGAACCTTAGTTATATATCATGGTTTCTAGAAGATTTTTTAACTAAAAAGGTTTTTGAGATTGACATAATTCTTCATTTTGATCCTTGTGTTTTAAAATCAATAGAATTCGTCCCTGAGATTGTTCACCGTCAATCATTTTGGTCATTCCGTGAAAAATTTCCGTTGAATAAGACCAAAATGACAAAAATACCCTCAAAATTTGTTAAATCATTTAGGCCCATTATTTATTAAATTTAAGATATTTTTGTCATTTTGATTCTTTTTTAATAAAGATCTTTCACAGAATGACCAAAATGATTGGTGGTGTACAAACTTATAGATCATTTCTATCGATTTCAAATCTCAATGATGAAAGTGAAGAATTATACTAATTTCAGGGATCATTTTGGCTAAAATGTCTTTCTAGAATCCATAATCTTCTTGCTATATACAATGTATATATTATGGGAACTTTAACGAAAAACTCTTGGTACTGTTGACTTTAACGAAAAACCACATTTTTATACTAAAAAGTCAATCATGGTACTATTTACTTTACCCTTTATTTTGTCATTATCTTTAAAACTCAAAGTTTTCAAACCATTTTCATTAATTTTCCTATATATTAATGCAACATTATACATATTCTCCGCATCGATGTTACTTAACTAAAAAATTGAATGAAATACTTGTTAAGT